CAGGCTGGTTTCGAACTCCTGAGCTCAAACAATCCGCCCGCCTCAGCCTCCCAGAGAGCTAGGATTACAGGCGTGAGCCACCGCGCCCGGCCTGATTTCGCATATTATTGATATGTAAGTGATACATACCTATTGTTAATTTATGACATTTCCTTTACTTCAGCAAGTTAGTAGTAAGAGGTGAAGTCAAAGAGGTGGGCTGGGACTAGGGACTAGTAAACCAAATATAGAGTTTGGATTTTATTCTAATTGTGTTAGGGGACTATTAAAAGTTAAGCAGGAAAACAGCATGATTTGCATTAAAAAACAAAACCATCTTGGCTGCTAACGGGAGAGTGAATAAGTTAGGCAGAGATAATACAGGAAGTAAGTGATGAGGTTTAGACTGGAGTGGTAATGATGGTGACAATTACCTAATGAGAATCAAACTTTTAAATCTCATAACAGCCTTTCAAGGTAGGTACTATTATCTTCATTTCACAGCAAGCCAAGGCAGGGAGAGATTAAATAACTGGCCCAAGGTTATACAACTTAGTAGAGGCCATATTGAGACTCAAACCCATGTAATCTAATAGAAAAGCTGAGCTCTTCCATCTGTAGTAGTAAAATGTAGAGACGAGGTTGAAGTAGTAAATGTTTTACAGCTACGATTGTCAAGACGTGCTAATGGATTAGATGTAGAGATGAAGGAAATAAAGAATGACTCCTAGGTTTTGCTTGAGCAACTAAGTGAATCTGGTAATATAATTATATATAGAGACGATATAAAATAAGAGGAAAAGGGTTCCAGGACCCAAACTCAGAGTATTGTACCATTTAAAAGTTGAACAGAGGAGGAGGAATCAGCAAAACACTCAGACTTAGCAGGGAAATAGGGAGAGCACGAAAGCCAAGAAGACAAAGCATTGCAAGGAGGAGGGAGGAGAACGTGTAGAATGCTGCTGAGAGATTGTGTAGTAGTTGAGGGCATAGAAGGGAATGTGAGATTTTGCAAAATGAAGGTTACTGGTGAAGTTGAAAAGAACAGCATCCTCCTAAATTTACTTTCACCACTATACTTACCTTGTTATACTGTCTATCTCCTCTCTAGACTAAAAGCTCCTGGGCAGTAACTGTGAGTTTTAATTCTAAATCCCTATCTTCTAATTACAATGCTTGGAATAGAACTGAAATTACATTAATGCTATGTAATGGAATGTAAATGCTAAGTTAAGTCAAAGGGCTTTCTGGTCTTATGATGAAGGATATGATTGACACGCATCCTTCCATTTTCTACTTCATAGTTCACGTACCGTAAGAGATCCGTTTTGTGTGCTAGGTGAGTTGCTACTCTGCTCTCCATGGGCTTGTGTACTTCCATAGAGTGTCAGGTTATGCTCACTGGTCTGGCCGGCATAGTCCTGAGTGTGTGGCACTCCGTATTCTGTGGGGATTCCATTCTGTGGAGGTGGTGGAAATGGGATGGTAGTAAAAGGCTGAACCATTGCGTCAGGAGTTGTTGTTGGCTCCTGGTTACCCTAAAACAAACAATGAGAAAAAGAAAATAAGAAGAAAAAGTGACTTTAAATCCCTGTTACATAATTATTTTTAAGGTGAGTATACAGAATTCTCTGAGTATTTTCTCACTGTACAGGTAAAACAGAATACTTATTGCCCCAGGCTTGGGGAAAATATTATTATACATACACACATAGACATATGTATGCAGACACATACACATACACTCCAACTTATGTTAATGTTGTGGCTATTAGACAGCTCCACAACCATATTAGTGGACTAGATGCCAAAAGGTTAAAAATGTTTGCTTTAAACCAAGTTTTTAATAAAATGCAAGGAAATTTCTCACACAAGGTAAGCTGTAAGAGATGAAATTAGTTTGGGCCATTAGTATTTTCTTTAGGATACTCTCTAATTCTTTACCAATTCTCAGGAAAAAAATAAACAGAAACAAATCAATTTCCTTAAAATTACAATTCATAGCCAACTGGCAGAACAACATTATAAATTAAAGTCTGAAAATAAGACAACATGGACCTCTAGATTTTAAGGCATTGAGTTCAGAAGAAAGTACATTACTAAAAAATTATTCTTTGTATATCAAGGTAGAGCTTTGTCTAAATCTTGGTTAGCAGGTTAATAAAAAAACCAAAAAACTTTCCTTCAAAATACTAGATAAAAACTTTCCAGACCAAAAAGAATTACTGCTACCAGATAAGGCTAACAACATAGCAGGATATCCTTCCATATACCATCCATTCCCACATGCTTATCTGAGATCCAGCATACCTGAAGTATCAATAAAGAACATGCAGTAACTATGGGAAACCATCAGAGGCCATTTTGGCTCCATAGCCTCTCTCTCACTTCCGTTCTGTCTTCAAGTTCAGATATAAAAGAGGGGTTTAAATCTTGTGTTACGGATTTTGCAAAGCCCTCACTACCCTCCCTTCTCAACAAATGACCTCCTGACTTTCCATTTTATTCCATAAAAAGAAAAATTATTGTTTTACTGAAGACACCCAAATCTGTAAAGTCTTGGGCCACTGTCTTTCTGGAAATAGTTGGCAGAGAGGGCAGAAGAGAGGGAGGGTAAAAGAAAGGGGAGAAAAGGAGAAATGGACTTTACAGTCATTAGAAAAATCAACTAGAAAAAAATATTAGCAAAAAGGTAAGACAGATACTGGGTTATTATTGCTAATGCCAGAGTGGGTTATATAAAACTGGTAAGACAGACAAACATATACACACACCCCAAGAGAAAAAGAGACAAAGGATATAACTGAACAATTCATAGAAGATAAAATACAAACAGGTAATAGAATGAAAATGCTCAACCTCACTAATAGTCGTGGTAATGCATATGATATTGAAATAATTTGTTTTTGTAGTCATCAAATCAGCAAAAAAAATTTTGGAAGTTTTATCAAGGTATAATTGACATACAATAAACTGCATCTGTATTTATTTACAGTGTACAATTTGCTAAGTTTTGATACACACACACACACACACACACACACACACACACACACACACTCTCTCTCTCTCTCTCTCTCTCTCTCTCATGAAATCATCACCACAATCAAGACAGTGAACACATCTATCCAAAATCCCCAAAAGCTTCCTTGTGCCCCTAATAATAAGTATGTATTATTTTTGTAATAAAACCTACAAAATATATTGTTTTTCATATTAAAAAGAATGACACAAAATATAATCAATAAGGAGAAGCCAATATGCTGAAGCATTGAATTATTGTGCTCTTAAGAAAATGATTGGCTGAGTGCAGTGGCTCCTGCCTGTAATCCTAGCACTTTGGAAGGCCAAGGTGGGAGGATCACTTGAGGCCAGGAGTTTGAAATCAGCATAGGCAACACAGCGGAGAACCCCTCTCTACAAAAAATAAAAGAAAAAGAAAAAAAAAAAGAAAATGGTAGTAACCCACCTAGAAACAAAAACTCTTAATTGTCTTCCACTTAAAAGTTATCAAACCCCCAAATTGAGCTGGCTCCAATATCTGAGAATCATTTCTACTTGGTACTAAAAACTGCTATACATAAAAATCCTCCCTTTGCCTAGTTCTTAGAAAATATGCTATGAAAACCTTCAATTGTTTTACTCATAAAATTTTTGAGGGGAAAGTTTTCCTTTGTCACCCACCACTACATAACTTCTTTTCATTATCTCTAGGTTGGGATATTGTATATGATTTCTCCTTAGCTATTCCGTGCATCCTAAGAAGGAAATAAAACAATTCTCTCCCTTTTTCAAACTACTCAGTGCTCTATTTACCTGTACCTATCTGGCAATATAAAATACATTGTTCCAGAAGCCCTCACTTCATTTACTGGCCTGAAGACAAATATGAAAAAGAATTCAAATTCAGGTGAATTGGTAAATGAAACAGAGTAAAAAGCACCAAAGGTCTCTACAGATCTATGTTCCAACTCCAGGCGTAAATATAATCTTACAGGAATCCACAGGAAATGTCTACTAAATAAGTGGTAAAGGATAAAAGACACAGTTTTCAAGTTAGTATCACATGGCCAAGGGTACTTTTCTCAGGCTCTGACGTTACTCCTCCTGGACTCGTAGCTTTCACTCCAGCTTCCATTCTCTGCCTCAGCCCTGCTGGGAATGAGACTCTGGCACACAAGCACATGGTATGAATTCTCCCACAGGGGTAGTCTTGACAGAGGTGGCTCCATCAAACTCTATAAACACATCAATTAGCAGTGGGAGATAAAAACGTTTTCTACAATCCACTTGTAGCCTAGGTACTAGGTGTTAACACAGAAATGCAAGCCAGGCAGAAGCTCTGTTTTCCTAGAAGAAGGGAAATGTGAACCTCTGTTAGGAGGTCAAGAAGAAATCCTTGGTGGATTATTTTGTTATTTATAGAAGTACTTTTTTGTTGTTGTTAAAAATGTAACAATTATATTTATATGCTAAGGGAATGAAATTGGGATAGAAGTGATTTCACATTTTGTCTCATATACTCTGCAATGTCTGAATATTTCCCCAAGTTATGTTATTAGTAGTAAAAATGTTAAATGTTTTCATATTTCTATTAAATTTCCAGGCCATATTCCAAAGTTCTAAGTTCAGTAGAAAAGACAACAGCCCCCAGAGAAACTAGGAGATGATAGTTCACATGATTATTTCTAGGCATGAATTTACCTCTATGCTTATGTAAAAATGTTTTGTTTCTAATATCATAGGCTAAGCTGCTTAAGTATATCTCATCTGAGAAAATAAATTATGAATATTAACTTTCTGTTGTAGTCCACAAAGTTAGATAGAATAGCTCTTTTCCCTAATTTAGCAGTCTATAAACTTGCTCCCATTTCCAGTTAGAAGTAATCCCTTCCTCTTCTATATTCTCATAGCATTTAGCTTGCACCACTAATGTGCAAGACGTTAGAATTTAACAAGACATTTAAATTCAAAACCTTATACTTAGCAAATTTAAGTATGTGTTTTGACTCCCCTGCTAGATTAAAAGCTTCACTATGATGGGTGGGGACTGTCTTGTTGAATGTAGAATCCCACATGGTGCCTAATAAATATGAAGTGCTAAGCAAACATTTATTAAATAAAGGAAGATTAAGATATAAAGTCACATGTGTGCTCACTACAGCAAATCGCTTTCTTTGGTGAGAGTAGAAAACATAACAAGGAGTAATACATAATGAAACAAATGTGGCTATCTTGGGCTGATATCGAATTGGAGAAGAGTACGGGGCAAGCAGGCAGAAGTGGTGGCCTACCCTCAGGAAAGAAAAGAATCCACATTTATGTGCTTGTGCTTTATGCACATGAGTTCATCTTGAAGAGTACTGACCTGCTGTGAGTGAAAATCAGATGTAACTATCAATTTCTAAGTTAAGAATGATGTCTTTCTCCTTTAAATCACAGATACATACGTAGCCTTCTGGTGTACAACATGAAATATGCTAAATGTTTTCATTATAAATTCAAATATAGTCATCCCTTGGTATCTGTGGAGGACTGGTCCAGGACACCCCCCCCCACGAAAATCCTTGGATGCTCAAGTCACTGGCATAAAATGGTGTAGTATTTTTATATAATCTATGCATATCTTCCTATATACTTTATTTTTATTTATTTATTTATTTTTGAGACAGAGTCTCACTCTGTTGCCCAGGCTAGAGGGCCATGGCGTCAGCCTAGCTCACAGCAACTTCAAACTCCTGGGCTCAAGCGATCCTCCTGCCTCAGCCTCCCGAGTAGCTGTGACTACAGGCATGCGCCACCATGCCTGGCTAATTTTTTCTATATATATATTTTTAGTTGTCCAGATCCTTTCTTTCTATTTTTTTTAGTAGAGACAGGGTCTCACTCTTGCTCAGGCTGGTCTCGAACTCCTGACCTCGAGCGATCCACCTGCCTCAGCCTCCCAGAGTGCTAGGATTATAGGCGTGAGCCACCAGGCCTGGCCCTCCTATATACTTTAAATCATCTCTAGATTACTCATAATACCTAATACAATGTAAATGCTACGTAAGTAACTGTTATGCTGTAGTGTTCAGAAAATAATGCGGGGAAAAAAGCCTGTACATGTTCAGGTTTCTCGCAACCATCCATTTCCCCTCCTAATATTTCCAATCTGCAATGCGGAACTCATGGATGTGGAAGGTGCAGATAGGGAGAGCTGGCTGTACCACCACGAGAATTAATTCCCATCACACAGGAACCCTTTCATCATCCATTACCTCAACCACAGCAGTCTCAGAGTTTCAACCATCACCTACTTACGGGTGACTTTGAAATAGTTTTTAGGTCCAACTACATGTTTTCTCCCAAGCTTTCATGGGAGGTAGAGTAAAACAGAAAAAAGAGCACGAACCTAAAAGGCAGACCCAGATGTGGGTGAATTACTTAACTAGTCTGTTTCGCCTCTGCAAAATGAACAACCCCCTTCAGAGGGTTGTGAAAACTGAGAGAAAGTGAAACTGACTTGTTTTGTTGTTTCTTCAGCATATTCTCTGTT